AATATCTTATGTGTTGTGCCGCTACGCCGATGTAGGACAGCATGCGAGTCGGGCCAAGTAAAGAATACGGAGATACGCCAACGATTACCTTGCGATTCCGTACTCTAGGCATGACACTGTCCAGGGGTAAGTCACCTCAGACAGGTCAAAACAACCTTCTTTCCCCTGACAACCTACCCTGCCCCCCCCCCATCATTTCTTTAAAACAATGCTCGTTCTCGTTCATCATCGACCCGTCCGCTCGCTCGTCACCCCTTTTTCTTCGCGATCATTTTTATCAGCCTCCTGACACCCTCTCTCGTTCTCTCCGCGCCATCACTTTCAGCGCCGGCTTATCGACGACCGCGGTCCTGTCTACTTTGAGTGGTAGACCCTCCCCTTCAAATTTAATACACTTTTCGCTTCTGCTCTTTTCATGCTTCTCATCTTGCAAGACCTTCCTGACGTGTTCTCAAATTTTTACGCCGCACTATCATTTTTATTTGTGACACGTGTCGATACCGAACCGTTTTATCGATTTATAGCTTGCGTTTTATATCGCCGATAAATATCGTTTCCTCCGATTAATCGATCGTGCTTCCGCCGCATTCTCGCTTTCGTTGGCCAAGTTCGAGGCTGTAACGCGCACGATTTTTGCCCGTTTCTTCTCTTCTCCGCGTTGTTTTATGGCTACTTTTGGCATGGAATCGCAAACTACTATCTTGCCTGTATTTATGAAGAGGAGACTTAGAAGGACTTGCGCAAAATATGATACCCAGTAAGCCAGGGAAAAAAAGGAATATTTTTCACGAAGCATGAAAGACATTTTCGTAATGGACAAAGATTAAAGTCACTTTAGCGCGCTTAGCAGTTTTAAGAATTCACTTCTTTAACAAGAAATGTTCTATATTTTCTCTCACAATATTGCGTAGCCTAATTTATGGCCCATAATCGAAATAATATCAATGTATCACACGTATCGAGGATTCCGGTAGAAACCGCGGAGTTTAACGGCGAAACTTTTATGGCCAACACTATTTCGGACAATTAAAAAAATGCCCGAACGTTAAAAAAATCGTTCTCCCGATATTTCATCCCTACGTTTAATTATTCCATGGGAATGTTTTTAAATATTCCGATAAGCCCTGGTCTGCAGAGTAAATTTGACATTTGAATTCACGATCTGACAGTCGTTCCATTTTCCATTGCGTGTGCTAAACGAAGCGGTAAACACAAAGCATAGGATCAATTGAAACGCGCATGATCAAAGTTAGAAATAATAGTTTATTTAATCTGAATTTTGTATTAATTATATAATTATAAGTAAATTATACATTTTTTTACGTTTATGTTTATTGCACTGACTTTCAATTGCTTTTATTAATATATTGTTTTTATCTCTTAATACCTACATTGTTTTTATTTTAATTACTTTATTTAATCTTTTTTAATATGAAGAAAATATTTACTAATTAATTTTTATGTTATTTCTAAAGCAGTTGAAGTATATGTATAAAATTAAAATACTTATATATATTTTTAGATACCTTTTTATTTTTATTAAATTATATTTCTATTTTTTTTGTACAGTACCGCCCAGCAATCTTTGGCTATGACTTCCGTCATCGATAACTATTATTCCTTATCCGAATCGCATTTGATACACGGTTACGTCATCGAATTTCATCTGCATGTCAACAGAATCTGCTCTGTAGTTATTTAACGATAATTTAAGCATACTTATTGCAACGTGTTCACAATTATCTTGTATGTCTCTCATGCGAGTCTTATAGTCTGTTTTACACTACGTGATTTAATTTGTTAGCATGTCATTTGTAATATCGTCACGGTATCAGCTTAATCGTTCTTCGCTTACACTGCAAAAGTATTGTATTATGAAATTAGTAATAATAAATACATATTATTATTTATTTCTGCACATATGGATACCGCTGCAAAATCTGTGGCAAGAATTACGATACAAAGCTGCGATACCGTTAGAAAATCAAGTGGTGCGAACACACTGTAAGCCATTGAACGAGAACACATAGCATTTTCTTTTCTTTTCTTTCTCACAACAAGCAACGATAAGCAATCGGCAAAGGCAAGTGTGATGAAATTGTTCCCGAGCAGAAACGACCGATCCGTCCAATACCAATTATCTTCCGCGTGCTTTCTGATATTGTTCGTCTGCGTTTTAGCGTCTTTTTCGGTTACAATTAGAATTATTTTTCCTTCTTTCACCCCTTCAGATTCTGATCGTACAAGCATGTTTGTCACCTCAGAAATCCTTCACTGTTTATTTATATCTCCCTCGTGCGCAGATTGCGTGTGTATCCTTTGCTATATTTATCAATTAACGTCGAGAAATGCGACGACGTGCTTTTAATTACTCGAATTTATCTTGCTTGGATCGAGATTTATATGTTAGTGGGATTGATTATGCCTGTGAATGTTACAATACATATTTTTGACAATCATTAATTCGTATTCTTTATATATATTTATGTAACGCACGAGCGATGCAAATTGAATGTCTTATCTCAGTAGCTATAGATAACATAATTAGATACAGTAATGCCTTTTTACATCGGGCATCATAACATTTACACTGAACACATTTGAAATGCATTATGAGTAATGCGGCACGATTTGCATTAGGAACTTACATTAATCGCGTAATGAATATTAGAGACTTCCAAATTAAATACCATAACTTCATAGAAAAATACAAAAGAACACATAATGTTTTTTTATCGAGTTTACAATTTTTTTCATTCAGTTAGAATAATCAATTTAAAATTTCGATTTGCGTGAATTGAATGAACGTTAAAGAGTAATGTTTCGAGCTTTCCACCTTGCAGTCTCGCGAGTAATTAAGATATTTTATGGCGAGATATAAATTATATTTCGCAAAAACAAAATATTCGCTCAGCTGCGAGGTGTACAAGAAGATATCGCGTGACAGATAGACACCCGGTAATATTGATTCGTTGATAAGATAAACGGCATTCGATAGTCGATGCGAACGGCAATATCGCATTCGCAAAGCGTTCACAAAGAAAAACGGTGAAAAAACCGGGAGAAAAAGAGAGAAAGAATAGAATACCCACACACGCACATTTGCCTTGACCGATCGTGGCGTTGCTTGTTGCAGCGAGGCGTCGCGGCGACGAGGAGACTGCGGGTGACGTCGGCGCCGGAAGCGAGGCGCACATCACACCCGGCGATGAGGACGAGGATCAGGAGGACCCGCGTATCATCGACGAGAAGGTGCCGCAAGGTGGCCAAGAGAATCCAATACACACGAGCACCGAATACGTGAACGGCCGTACGGACGTCAAAGACACCAAGAAGGATGAGAAGACGGACACGCCCGTCTAAGAGAGAGATTTAAAGAAAGAAAAAAAAGACAAGAGAAGGGACGCATTCCTCTCGCCTCGTTTCTTCTGTCTCTCTCTTTCTCTCTCTCTCTCTCTCTCTCTCTCTCTCTCTCTCTCTCTCTCTTTACTTTCCTTCGTACGCAGGAAAACCGAGCTGTCGCACTTTATCGCGTCAGACTGTAGTAACGATCCAAGTTTCCTCTGGTGATTTCCGTTTTTGCGTGCGGACACTTTCGTTAAGCGTTTGCAATCGGAAGTTGACTCGCTGTAGAGCGATACGCTACTTATTTCTCATTCCCATTCTCACAGGACGAATAAGATAGAATAATTTTAACCCTCTCATTCTCCGCGGTAGCCAGAAGAGCAACCGTGTTAAGAGATTACGTGTAAGAATATAAACTAAAGAGTTATATGTAAAATTTCCGTAAAACGACTTTGTCGTATAATTGACTTGTTTGAATGTGATTCTCTGAAATGCCTAGGGTAATTGTATAACACGATGGACTAGAAAGACTTAAGAGATTATATAAGAAAAGAAAACAAGAGATTATATTATATTATATGAAATTAAAAGAAATATATATATATAAGACATATAATCTATTGTATCACTGTATCAATGCATATAAATATAAAAGTGGTTTTAAAATGTAAAAGTAATTTGAAAATGAGAGGGTTAAAATATTGTCTATCTTGACAATGCTAAACGTTGTTAATATTTAATATATTTATTTTAACAGTGATAAAGGAAAACAATATTTGAATTATAGGAAATTTTTTTTGTAACATAAAAATGACAAATATTAAACTTTTCATATGATAAATTTCTTCTTAAAAATTTCACTATTTAATTTCTTAGAAGTTTTAATGAAAAAGCTAAGTTATTATTTTTTTAAACTTTTTTACTTATAATTCTGATAAATTTTCTATTGTCGATAAATTTCATCCTGTGAATGCCCTTGCAATATATGAATGATGTCATTTTCTTAATTATATCGTACTTTAGATACAAAAGAACGATCGTGAAAATATCTGACGAAATAGCTCTCGTAAACTTGTACGCACATTAAATCGACAGCAAAAATCGTTGTCAAAACTTTCAACTAGGAAACGAATTATGTTTTAATTATGCGTCGCCTTCTCATTTTTTCTAATGGCAGCCGGTTAGACCTTTATAAGTACGACCGTAAGTGTTCGCGTCGAGGAAGCTTGGTTCTCGATCCGTCGATATATTTGGCTATGACGTTCCGAATCTCCCCTCAATCGCTAGTATAATAAGAACAAAATTGCTCGGCAAATCGATTCCGTTTCTTTTATTTTATGCGTGTTAACAGGATCTCAAAATGGTGCATACACGCATAATTTTAGATTCATTCACTGGGATATTTGTTAAGATTTCGAGAACTGAGTTGACTATTATACTCTGATCTAACCGTATTAATTATGTAATTTTATATAAAATATTTAAAAACTAGAATCTCTTTTGTAAGAAAGGAATGGATATAATGTAAATTTTTTAAATTTTTCTTTTTTTTTACGAATGAGTGTCAAGATCAGAAAATTTTCATTGCGATTTGCTCGCCACTGGACGCATGTGATTTTTCATGCTGAACTTAGCGATGATTATGAAGTAGCTATGACAAATTTCGCGCGGAGACGCGCCTCCCCGAATCACGATAGGCATCCTCACGATAACTGGAACAAATCAAATTACGCAGCCGAGCGAACTTTTTATAAACAATACACTATTAAAAACACACAGACATATATACACGCATACACGTTAATTGTTATACACGACGAGACATTACGCACACACATAGATATTTGCACGCTTACTAAATCATTGACAAGAGCTTTGTTTTTATAAAATGTGTTCTACTTTTGCCTCATTAATCGCCAATTGCAGCTTTGAATTTTGAATCAGTTTTTAGGAATTGAAAATGAAGTATTAGTTAAATTAAATGAAGTTAATAATTAAGTTAAAATTTTTTTAATCACAGTAAAGCTTAAAATTAAAAAATTAAAGGCTGAAGTCTAAAAGTAAATACCAAAATAAATTTATCAATTAAAAAAAATATTTAATTTTAATTAAACTCCATTTAATTTAAAAAATCATTTTCAAATCCTAGGAATTGTCAATTCAAAATTTATAATAATACCGGATAATCTGGTATTTGAATCTGTTTCCAATTTTTGTCTTGAAAATCTGCTATTGACGTTTAATCTGATGAAGGTTAAAAAAACTTTAAAATTGATCACACTTTTTATAGAAAACTTTAAAAATTTCTTTGCTTTTTTTAAAAAGCGATATTATACATGCAGGAAACAATACGTGTGTGCGTATTTTTATCGCTTAAGGCAAAAGAACACATTCCTTAAAATATTTCCCTTGAATTCTCGAAATGTTTTCGTGAATCTTTGTGGAAAACGTGCATAATACTGTGATCCCACATCTTTTGATTCTCTACGAAACGCAACATCGCGTTTTCGGTTGATTTTCAAAAATGCTCTCGATGAAAGAGATTTTTTTTTCTATCTTAACATTTTTATTATATGCCCTCTGCTCTTAATATTATGAAATTTTTACCACATTAGAAACGAATTTTGAGATTTTAAGATACTTTTGTAAATGCGACGAAAGCAAATATAAACGAATAGTAAAAGCGATGTTCGCGAAATTTTGAGATCGAAGATGCAATTGTATCTTTATATTATTAGGCACTATTATTATCCAGTCTTTTGTACTGTAACATTTTTACAAATATTATAACATTCCTGATATATTTTACTGTGTGCTTTACTTAAATGCATTTTATCGGCGAGAGATCTTTTTATAAATTACATATATACATAGAGTACAATAAGATTATTGCGCAAATATACAGAATGTTGCGTAAGTTCTTAAACAGGAGTATAATGTTACATGTTACTTACTTGTCTAATGCTAATGAATTTGTGTAGACAGAAGTTTATTGATTTGTCAAAAAAACATAATAAAATAATTATTTCAAAATATATTTATTTCAAATTTTAATTTCTGTTGAACATTTTGAATTTTTGCGATCTTGCGTTCAGTTTTATGTTCCTGTCTTCCTGACTTATGCAATTTACGAAACATCCTATATATAGTTATAGCGATTAAACGTTTAATGACGTTTCGATTATTACGCAATCTTAAGATATGAATTTCACTTAGAAAGAATCTCATTTATGAAACGAATTATATGTAATAATTATTGCGTTTTATAAAAAGTGCGATTTTATATGCGGCGTTTAATAAATACAAGAAATACATTCGAATCCGACCGTGGATCATACGATTGACGAACATAATCGAGCCAATAAGATTTATATTCTTATGATATATGATAAAACAATTATATCCCTCCATACGTCACTAGACAGTATTATATATCAACCGGTAATCTCCGTTTGACGTAACATTTTCAGTCTGCGTATTTTCTACAATACATGTACATGGCTACTATTTGTAAGAGCGGCACTTGTGGTTATTACAGATAACTACGAAATTTTTATATAAAAAAGACGTATCTTTTAATTTCAGTAAATTAAAACCTTTTTTTTTTCAACAACACACGCAACCTATTTCACTTATTGGATAGCAAATATAATTAATGAGCTGTTCGTACAAGTTGAATCATATCTAGAGGAAATGATATGAGTTTATAAGTACAATTGTGATAATCAAATTTTTGGAACTTGTCATATAAAAAATTTGTGCGAAAGGTATTTCATATTAAATATATTGAATCTTCGAATATATTACCAGCAGCGCGGTATTAAATATATTTTCTATCCAATAATATACACATGTTACGGAATTATTGAGAGGTTTGCATCGAGCTTTTGAAGCGAAAAAGTTTAAAAAATTGAATGATATTTATAATGATATTATTATTATGTAATTTAATTATTTTAAAGAAACCCTGATAGAGATTAAAATGTAAATGAAAAATATTTTATTTTTCTGGCAACATTTGATTTTAATTTAATATAATTTCATTTTTAATAAAAGTAAAAAATGAAATTAGTTAAAAATGAAATTAAGATATTTAATGTTAATCCTTTGGAGTTGGTAGTTGGATGTTCAACATTAATAACTGTAAAATCCTCATTTTAATTAATAATAATTAATTTGTGTTAATTTTAAAAAAGCACTAATTAATTTCAAGAAATCAAAATGACATAACTTGTATAAACAATAATTATAAAAGTAAAGATATTAAGTGAAGATATTTTAATATAAATAATCCAAATTTACAGAAATTTGTAACATTAAGAAAATTGAATTATTTGACATAGAAATTTTAACATAGAAATTTATAATTGAGAGAATACAATAAACTCAAATATTTCTTAATCCATCGTCAATTTCAAAAAGTTAAGGAATAATGAATTTTCATTATTTTATTCTTATTTATATAAGGAAACGCTCTTATTTCGATGCAAACCTGACAGAGACATTCTATACGCATTTACTGGAAATATTTTTTACGGCGCATCAATGACACTACGAGAAGAAGTTCCTCCTCATTCGAGGTGAGCGTCGTAAATTATCTTATTATTTCCTTTGACAATAAGTGTTGTTTATACTTTTGTACAGGTGACTTTTCCTTAGCTAATCATCAAATGCAATTGTGCAAATTTAAATGAAATACCGATACATATTTACACACACTTACATGTATGCATACACATACACACAATATACAACGTAGGTCTCGTCGGCATCGCGTGAAAGAAAAAAATCGAATAAGAACCAAAGGACGGATTTTCTCATGTTCCATTCATCAATCATACATTTCCGAATTCTGCACGCTCCTCCACCGTTTCTTTCCGGATGCATTCGTGTTTTCACTTACAAGAAAAGGGCCGTGCTAAGACCGATGGGATTATCGAGGTTCTTGTCAGGGATACGATATGATTATTAAGAATATGGTAAAGAATTGATCGCATCCCGAAGCGCATGTTTCGGGCGAATTTTGAAGGAG